CTGTACAGTGCTGACATCCTTGCTCCAATATGAGCCTTCTGCCACATAACCAAGACCTCTATGTGCTCAGGTAGGAACCTATCAATGTGGTAAGTAAGAAGAGGAGAAAGAGTGCCTTTCCATGAGCATGGCCTTCATCTTCTGGTACAACCTAGCCTGCTCTTGCTTAAAGTTAAGTTAAAAGAGTGTTGCCATGTCATTACGAGCTCAGTGTAGACAATAACTCATCTAGCTGAGCAGGTAGGGTTGCCACTTCATCCCTTTAAAACTGAACACATATTAATTACACAGGTTATGAAGCTAATTAATTGCAGATAAGGTACTCAGTGAGTTTAGTTACCACCTTAATCAGCCACAGAACCTGTGTAATTAATGTGTTCAGTTTTAAAGGGACGAGGTGGCAACCCTACCCGCAGGTCTTACATAGGATGCACATAAACTTCCCAGTGAGTGTCGGCATTCCTGCTTCCCTGAGCGTTAACAATGACAAAAGGATAAGAAGTGCTGTGACTGCGCCGTGGACTTATTACCAGACAAACATATCTGTGGATATTGCCACTGAGACCTCTCTAAGTACAAAGGACACTGGGAGCCAGCAAGCCATGGTCCTTCATGGACAAATAGTTGATAATCCTCTGAGTTCTTCTCCAGCCACTTATGCCAGCAGACTCTGGGCACAATGTCAAGGACGCAGCCCTGCAGAGGAGTACAGGGCACTACAGTTAGCCCTCCTAACCAAGGAGGCCCTGAACCCATCACAGCCATCTTTATTCTTGGCTCTGAGGACACCAGAGGTAGAAGAAGGTCAATTATCCTCCTCGAAATAGCTTAGCAGGGTTCAAGTGTCTCTTGGGTCCAGTCATTCATTAGGGCGTTTAACCAGGCCCAGAATGGGATGACCCAAATGACTGCCTTCGAAGTCATAACATACTTCATGTATTTAAGACATGACCTTTTATTCTCCCTGATGAACAGAAGGGTGAAGAGGTTGTTTTAACAGGAGTGGCAGTAGTGGTATGAAATGTTTCATTAGTAAACAGCAGCAAAATTATACTCTACCCAGGAGGAAAACGCCACTTCTCTGTTGAATATAATGGCACTGCCAGATGCTAACAAATTTAACGTGCATTGCAGTAATACAATCTATGGAGACTGGTTGCAGGCACTACATGGAAGATCCAGGGGCTTGCACGTCAATGGACTTCAACAGAAGGGTGGTCTAGGCTTCCATGTCTATTGTAATAAAGTATGGTTATACAATTTAGCCCTCCCTGTTTAGTTCATTATTTATCACATGTATGCTGCCATGTTGGCATCAGGGAAACAGAAAATTGTATCAAATACTTACTGTAGTTTTGCTTTCCTGACACCAATCCACGGCAGCATCTGAACCGTCCCTTGTTTGATCTTGTTCTTTGTATGGAGAATGGGGGAAGTTGCTCTCAGTCCCACTTTTATAGATTTAGACAGGTCCTGTGGGTGGATATAGGGGTGGAGCTATATCACGTGTATGGTTTGGCATCAGGAAAGTAAACTTTAAGGTAAGAATTTGATACAATTTTCGATTATTTAGTCTTACTCTGCTGTATGTTCCTTGCCTCAACATTGTGCCTGTGAGCCCATTCCTGTTTGACCTGCATTTCTTATGCCTTTCCTGACATGCTATGACCTCTGGCATCCTGCATCCTTGCCTGACCTTGTTTTCCCTACATCCCCTTGCCTGTTCCCCTGAGATGCTTTGTGAATAGTTAACTAGTTGTTAGGTATTTGTTTCACACTGTTTTACACTGTTTTTGGTGATTGGTTTTGGTATACGTATGTGTCATATTTTGTATGTTCACTAATACATTTTATCTTCAAATGAATCATAGTATGCTCTTGTGTGTAGCTCAAATATCTGGTCCCATCAAATCACAGGTAACCTCTTACTAGTTTTCTTATAGGAGTGAGTGATTGTAACCACCTTAGGATGGGAATTGTGTTATTAACAGGATTACCAGGTGAAATGAAAGGAAAAACAAGACAGGGAAAAAAAGAAAACCACTTCTAAGGAGGGGTAAGCTTCAAGATAAAAAATATTTGGTTTGGGATTTAGATATACTTTAATGCAATAAAAATCCTTACTATAACATTTTATCTTTTGGTAGGCATGAAGAAAACATTTAAACTAGTGCACTAGCTTTTTCTACAACCCTCCCTAAGTAAAACTGGTCACTATATGCTCAACAAAACTATTCCTCTTACAACCCCAATATCAGGGGTACCATCAGGGGCATATTTACCATAAGGCAAACAAGGCATTTGCCTAGGGCGGCATTTTTAGGGGGCAACACTGCCCCCTGGAAGAAGGGGCCTATGCGACATGGGGACCAGGTGGGATCCGAGAGAGGCTGCGGGCTGCTTGATGGTGTATGCAGAGCCCAACTGTTGTTCCCAGGGATGTCCAGAACTGTGAAGGTGACTTTCTTTCTCTCTGTTGCCCTAGGGAGGGGGGGGGGGGGTGTTAGTGGAAAGCTCTCTTGGGTGGAGGGGCAGGGGTGTTGTTGGTCACTTTCAAGCTCTCTCCGTGGGAGGGTGGGGAGGCAGGTCTGATGTTGGTCAGTGTGAGGCTCTCTCCCTGCCGGGGAGGGGCGTCTGATTTTTGTGTTGCCTAGGGCAGCACAAAACCTAAATACACCAATGGGTACCAAACTATATTAAAAAGAGCACTAGGCAGGGCTTTCTTTTATCTTTGTGATTATACCTAACCTGGGGTTTTTCACAATGCTTAATTTCTTTTACTACTAACAGTACAAAAAATAAAATGGTGAAATGCAAAAAAAGACTGTATTCAGAAACATGCAATGCAATGCACAGTTTTCTTGCCTGCCACTAGATGGCTCTTTTCCAATTAAAGACTGGTAAAGCTGTATTTAGGTATTAGCCCCCCTTTTAGAGAAAACCCTCCTTTAGTGATATAATTGGTGGAGTTGGTGCCCATATAAATGTCATTGTGGGAGGGGCATAGGAGCCAAACACCCCAGAGCTGTCAAGATGTAATCTTCTGCGGTGCTAACCTAAAGGGCCCTTTTCAGGGCTGAAGTCCCAAGCAAGGTGGAACAACATTCGTGAATAGTGGTGGAAACATGGAAATCTATGCTATCTGGGAACATGCCTGGCTTGGCAGAGCCATAGAGGATTGAAGGTATAATGCTACTTCAGTATACTCATGGCCGATAATAGTTGGCACACAAAATCATTATTTCTCACTAAAAAGTATTGCATTATTTAACACATGTTTTGACTATACACATGTTTATTTTCCCTTTGTGTGTATGTTGGGAAGAGGCTGGTATACTATAGAAGGCATCTTGATCCTACTCAGTGATTGAAGGTAAATGCTATGGTCTTAGTATACTGTATATAGGGAAGTGGTCCCAAACCTATGATGTTCCCAAGGAGAGGAGGTATAAAGGGGAAGATGGCTTACAACAATGATGTGCTTGTATGCTGCATAGAAATGGCAACTACAGAATGACTGCTCGTATATGGCATTCCACACTGAAGAATTCTGCTAGTATGTCAAATGTGATTTCAAATGTCATGGAAATCATTAAAGTTACAGTAAAGTGTGGAAAATGTATTTTATGTGTTGTCATTCCGTTATTCATAAATATTAAGGCCATTTGGGGATGTTGTGAGCAGGCCTATGGCCAGGTATATGGCACAATATGGCAGAGGATTCTATCAACAACAGGTGGGTAGCTGTTCTATCTGAGAAGAAGTGTGCTGGGGACTTGCTTAATTTGGCACCAACACCTGCCCAATCGTTGTCCCTGTTACACACTTGCCTACACCAACCTGTTAAATCAGTTAAAATTTTGACCCAAGACCCTTTAAAATGCATCCCAAAAAACAAAAAATGTTGAAGTGCAGATCTCAGGGTATACTGTATGTTCCTGACATCATAAAAACAATTGCAGTGGTTCAGGGAAAACCTGGGATAGACATTAAAGGTATGGAAGACGAAATGTGGTCTTTGAATTCCTATATACACCTATCAACACAAATAAGCAAGTAAAAAATAAAGAAAACTAATTTGGGCAACAGATCCATCATTGCAACAGCTGTATGGCAACATTAGATGCTTGGGGTGCTGGCATACTGTTGTTGAGCATAATTTAGTAGCACCTTCGACCTTTGATTGCTAGATGGGTCTAATAAATGCCAAAGGTAAAGTAAATGGACTTGCTAGCTTAGTGTACATAGTTCATGGATTTTAATCTCCCCTGAGCTTCTGGGGAATAGGAAATGTTGTCCTTTCTGAGGTTTATATTATGGTATTAGCTTGTGCTGAACATTGTGCATTTGGATTGCAGTGTTCATATTCGGTCACATTTACTATTCTTGCCAAATAATTTATTTTATGCATAAGTACTGTATATATTGTGTATCCACAATTATTATGAATTATTCCCCAAGAATTCCTGTTGTTTGCTTTTTGAATTGTGAACCACACAAAGGCCTGCTTGGAATTTTCACTAGCTGAAAAGTGACTGGTGTTCAAAAATTTAGTTTATTCCTCCTTTGATTACTGGAATGGGTAAAATAAAATGAACACTGAAATAAACCATACACCTCAAAAGTGGTTTCCTGTAAGGTATGCACCAGGGAGTAGTCTTTAATCTAAAACACATCTAAAGGTTTGTAAGCATGTATCATGTGAAGCAATATTCCCCAAGCTGTAAATCATGTTTATAATATATGGTCTTTTTAATCCATTTTCAGAATTGTGCTTTTATATTACTTTAATTCACTGACTTAAAATGAAGAAAAACGCAACTTTGTTAAGGTTACCAAAAAAAAAAAAGCTGATGTGGATGTAACTGTGATTTTGTTATACTAAGTATATTTTGAGCCTCAACCCAACCACTACCATGATGCCAGCTTTCATGAAGGTGAAACATAGACTCAGTCTAAATGTAGCACTGAACAAGCTAATCTCTTAATTCCCAGCATTTTTATTCAGACATCTTTTTACTGTGTGCAGTATTTAGGTTTCTGTATTGCAGGTTCTGGTTGTTTTTATTGATGTTAAGCTTTTGACGTTCTTCATAGCCTGCTCCATTTACTTCCCTATGTAAGTTCCTCAGTAAAGAAACTTCTCTCCGGCCAGGGTTGTGGATAACTGCCAGCAATCCTTGTAGCCATCTCTGGCGAGTGATTTCTTCAATAGTCTTTCCTTTGTCATGCATTAGCTGGGCTTCAGCAACAGACCTTTCTCTACAAAATAAAAGGTGAAAGTTATTCTTAAAGCAAGTGAAGTGTCTTGTCTTTTGATTCATTGTCAAGGTCTGAACTATCAATCTGGTAGCTTCCACTTCTGTCAGAAATACAAGCCTATCTGAGAAGGTTTCTAGGCTACTGGGAGCTCTTAGTAAGTCATACCTGCCAGTGTTCAGTGTAGCTTTTGTGGTCAACACCAGTTCTCAAGGGCCACCAAGAATCTCTGTATTTTTGTCCTCTTCTCAGTCTCACAGGTAAGATAATTAGCAATGTTCCATAGTAGCAAAAAAGGTTGCCACTTTATGAAGCACTGCTTCTATCCAGTAGTGGGAAAGCATGCACTGTTGGTGCCCCTTGACAACTGGATTTGAACACCAGTGTTCTCCACCTTTTACGTCGGTCCCTATAAAGTTACTTTTAACCAATGATGCCATTGTATAGTTACTCTTGCAATACTAGGCTTAGTAAAGTTATGTCACAGCCAGGAAAGTGGAATATTTTACATTCCTGAATTTTCTTAGTATGACTCATTCGAGTCATACGGTATGTAACTTGAATTAAACCTTTAATGAGAAACTCAAACTGTGCATTGAAGCTGGACTATAGCTGAAGATGAATGTCTCCTAATTTTTTGGGGAAAATTATTAAATCAGTTTCATAGATTGTAGATACATGTTTAGATGTATATGCCAACATAGTGTTGTCAGTCATAATAAGATTGTAGTGTATAATTGATGGAAGTTGAATGTTCACATTGCATTTGATAATTAAATAGTATTTAGCTATGTATAGTACTCTGTTGGCCAGTTGACTGAACGTTTCATACAGTTTCTAATACTTTTAATTTTATTTTATTGCATATAGTTTGTGGAAGTGTATTACTGATTTATTTACTTATTTTGTCTCAACACTGAAAGCGTTCTTCGGCCTGGGTTGTGAATGGTATCCAGTAAACTTTGCAACCATCTTTGACGACTTATATCTTCAATCATCTTTCCTGTATCATGCATTAGCTGAGTCTCTGCAACTGATCTCTCTCTACAATAAACAAAATAGAGTAGACAAAAGTTAAACAAAAGGTTTGTGATATCTCACACTGTCATTATGCCTGCACATCAATCAGGGCTGATGCAATTGCCTAGACACACTACTAGCATGATAAAAGGAACTCACCACACTAACTGGGCGGGCAACTAAAAAGATACAGGTATTTTTTAAACTACCAAACCACTGTTTATTTAGGAATCCAAATAAGCAATAAAAGTCAAATGTTCTGGATGGTCTTTTGTATACTGCATCACATTATCAATACTTGCCATTTATAGCCTATTACAGAAGCCTCCTAACTTTCTAAATGAAAGGCAAGTATACTGTCCTTCAGACTTTAGAGGGGCTGGATTGGGGACAGTGGGATAGAGAATATCCTGGATTCAGTGGGAGTAAATAAATTACATAGTGCCTTTGGTCAGTAAAAGGAATAGTGTCCCATCATTGATATCTTGTTGGAGGAAGAGTGTCCCATCATTGGTGCCAGTGGCAGGAATTATGCCCCACTTTTGGTGTCAGTGGGAAGAATAATGTCCCAAGGGCTGGATAAAGGCTAGCAGGGGCTACAGTTTGTAGACCACTTGTCTATTATGTGATTTTAGAAAGTGTGCTTTGATCAGTCGTATAATTCCAGAAAATTTACACTTATTGGAAAATATGTACAACTTAATTACATGTGATGAACAACCTCTAAATATTCAGAAAACATCATTGACTCTCTTCTCAGTTATTTTTCTCTTCAGTTTTGAGTGGAGATAATTTTACTTCTGCTACCACCTTATCAGCTTATTCTTGACTTCTAAGACCAATTAAAGATTTGAATTAGCATTAGTGTGGTAATGCATGGCCCAATCTTTGTAGCAATTGGACATGTACATGGCGGAAATTTTCATTTGTTTCGGATGCATTAATTCATTGAAGAATTTTGTTTTGCCATATTCATTGTGTTGAACTGATTTGTTTTCGGAATTCATTTCATATCTTTGGCATTCGTTTTGTATATTCATTGGTCCGGGTGGATTCAAAACATTTTGAAGTTTTTTTGAATGATTGATATATTAGTTTTTGGTTTTGATATTTCAGGTGGATTCTTTATTCATTTATTGAAACTATTCAATATTTTCAGATACAATGGAATAAATAATGCAAAATTCAACAGCCTCGAATTTTTCAAACCTGATAATTGTATTAGACTGTGGAACCTACTGACTGATTTTACTCAAATCTGAATTATTGAATGAATTTGAAAATTAAATTAATTTCCCCATGGGCCCGAACTACTATTGTTGGAAAATCCATCTTTTCTGGGGCTCAGAGTCACCAGTTTTGGAGAAAAGATCATAAGTGGGTCCCTGTATTCCCTAAAATTAACTGTGAGGGTTCACACATACCTCACTGCCCAGTACTCCCAATCAGACATCTACAGGTGGTTCGATATTCTCAACATATATAGACAGCAGAAGGCAAATCTCTGTGAAAATATACCACTAGTAAAGTCTTTAAATTGGGAAACATGCATGAATTAAATAATCTAAAAATGTATATTTACAGCCTAGAGTTATATAAAGCTTAGCTCAGGTCCCATGCGGAAATGTAGGCTGATTGCCAATCTGTAGATTTTCAGCCTGTCCAGTTTTATTGGAACCTATTCAGTAAGTAATACACGATGCAGCAATGCTCCTGACAGAGATAACCTGGTTCTCCTATTTTTTGCAAAGAAGGCTAGTGTATAGCCAGTGGCATCCTCCATTAACATAGTGACTCTACCAGGGGTGGAGCTTTGCCTTCATACAATTGCAGGCTGTAAAAATATTAAAGCTTATGTTTTGCTAAAAAAAAATACTGTAATGAAGTATGTCCCCCATTGTTCATACAGCTAGATCCTGGAGAATACTAGCAAGTGGCATCCTTTTCTGCGCAGGGTTTTTGTCCTCATACAATTGCAGCTGTTTCAAATTCAGCTAGGTCCTGGAGAATCTTCTGCTTCAGTTAGCAGTACACCTTCATGCTGCAATGGTTAACAACTTAATGTCTTCAGGCACAATAGCAGTACAAATGATTTGAAACCTTTTACTGGCTAGACTGTTTGTAACACAATCTGTGAATGCAGGGGGAGTCTGATCTGTCATAGGGTTCTCCCCCTATTCACAGATTGTAATTTGAGCAGAAAATGAATGATGAAATAACTTTTTTCAGTGGAGGAGGCAGGAGGAGGGGGCGTGCTTCCATCAGAACATCTGTACTGCTGTTCTGCCTGAAAACCCATGCAGCACCAGAAGTTCAAGTACAGGAAGAGGACAGGCATCCCTTTAGTGAAGATCTCTCCAGCATCCAGCTGCCATCACAGCATAAAACAAAACCTCAGTACAGGTAAGTGATGTGAATGAAGCTGCATGGAAATTCTTTTTTCAGGTAAATTTCATCATTAAAGTTATTATAGCTATGTATTTATGTGAATTATGTACTTCACTACCAAAGATGGCTGTAATGTTGGCCATACACATAGCAATTTGTATAATTTAGTAATGTAAAATAATTAGATTAATATTAAGTAATAATTAGATTGTTTTTAAAGACATTTGGTTTCAAAACAATCCATCTTACTGCACACAAAAGATATTGGTTGAATTCAAATGCCTTGACTTGCCTGGAACAGGTACTGCAGTCAATCATTTACAGATATGATTCTTTCATTGAACTTACAGTGGCGAAAATAATTATTTGATCCCTTGAAGATTTTGTAATGAAGGGTCTATAATTTTTATCATAGGTGTATTGTAAATGATAGAGACGGAATATCAACCACAAATCCAGAAAAAAAACACATCATACAAATGTTATAAATGGGAGTTGCAGTTCAGTGAGTAAAATAAGTGATGTATCCCCTACCAACCAGCAATAATTCTGGCTCCCACAGTGGCTCATGTGGCAAATAGAATAGTCCTGTCAGTTTATGAAGTTGCTCCAAACAACTTGTTATGTGTATAAAAAGACACTTGTCCACAGAATCTTTCTTCCATTCAAACCTCACCATCATGGTGAGCTGTCAAAGGAAGTCTAGAACAAGACTGTAGACATGCACAAGGCTGAAACGACCTACAAGACCATCAGTAAGAAGCTTAGTGAGAAGGAGTCAACTGTTGGAGCGATTATTCCCAAGTGGAAGAAATGCAAAATAACCAGCAATCGTCCTTGGAGCCCTGGAGCTCCATACAAGATTTCGCCTCATGGGGTAAGGATGATCAGGAGAAAGGTGAGGGATCAGCCCAGAACTACATGCAGGGCTGCTATTAGGCTGTATGGGGCCCCATGATTTCTATCTGATAGGGCCCCCTTTGACCCCCTGACCCTGCTCTTGACCACACACGTGGCTCCTCGTCTCTCTCAAAACAAAATGCAGCTTTGTTTTCAAGTGCATTCAGTAGAAGGGGGAGCAGTTACACATATAGTTACAAATACAAGTGTAAATGAGGCTACAGGGCTTTTTTCTCAGAAAATAGGTGCAGAAACTCTATCACGCCCTAATCGCACCACTTGTCATCAATATCATCAACAATGTGCTATATACAGAATACAGACTTCAGGAGTGCAGGATTCAGCAATGTATTTCCCAAAAAAGTGCAGAATTCAGCAGTGCCCTATGTACAGAGTGCAGAGTTGAAAAGTGTGTTGCATTTGGAGTGCAGGGTTTTAGCAGTGCGCTAAGAACAGAGTTGAGGAGTGTGCTACGTACAAAGTGCAGAATTCAGCGATGTGCTACATACTGATTGCAGGATTGAAGAGTGCGCAGTGTACAAAGTTAAGAGTTCAGGAGTGCACTGTGTAAAGAGTGCAGGGTTCAGGAGTGTGCTGCATACACAGTGCAGGGTTCAGGATTGTGCTATGTACAGAGTGTGCAGTATATAGGGTCCAGGAGTGCCCTACATACAGAGTGGGCAGTGTGCAGAGTGCAGGGTTCAGGATTGTGCTATGTACAGAGTGTGCAGTATATAGGGTCCAGGAGTGCCCTACATACAGAGTGGGCAGTGTGCAGAGTGCAGGGTTCAGGAGAGCGCTGTGTACAGAGTGCACAGTGTACACAGTGCAGGGTTTGGGAGAGTGCTGCATACACAGTGCAGGGTTCAAGATTGTGCTACATACAGAGTGCAGGGATTAGGAGTGTGTTACATTCAGAGTACAGAGTTCAGGAGTGCACTAGGTACAGAGTGCAGGGTTAAAGTGTTACTAAGCCCAGGACCCTGCATTCATGCATTCACTATATCTGGTCTTCCACAGTACACAGAACATGGAAGTGCAATTATTTTATAAACTATAAACTGCTAAATAACTTTTCTCAACAGCAGTTAGAGCAGTCTTGTGACTTCTATTAGTGTTCAGCAGAGCACTGGTTACAGCTTGTGGGAGGAATTTTCTGCTCTAGGAGAATGCAAAACCCCTTACCTCTGTCTGGACAGTGCTGATTGGCCCTGTGCTGATCACATGCACTCTCCCAAGAAAAAAAAAACCTCTCTAGCAATACACACTAAACTGAGCATGTGCAGAATGGCTAAGGGTTTAGTCTGTCTTATCAGGAGACAAGACATGGACATTTGAACAACAGGAGGGGCAGAAAAGACAGGATCAAATGGTCTTTTACACAATGCAGAGGATTAACCTCTTAGGTACCACAGTGAGTATAACAAGCATGCTTTACTGCATATACAGGCTGATTTTACTATTGTGGGTTTAGTAACACTTTAAGGTGTGCATTGCATTCAGAGTGCAGGGTTGTCGACTGTGCTGTGTGCAGGGTTAAGGAGTGTGTTATGTTCAGAGTGCAGGGTTGAGGACTGCACTGTGTACACAGTGCAGGGTTGAGGAGTACACTATGTACAGAGTGCAGGTGTGCATATTTCACAAGCCAGTTTACAATCCCCCCCCCCCCCCCACAGAGCTCTCCCCCTAATTTCTCCCCCCCACCTCAGTGCAGAGTTCTTCTCTCCTCCCTGCCTAATACAGAGTGCCCCTCTCCTCCTCTTCCAGACCTTCCCTCTTCTCCCTGTCAGTGCACAGAGCTCCTCTACTCCACAGAAAACAATGTACTGTCACTTACAGGAGGAGGTCATGTTGCCGGTTCGGGCTTCTGATGATGCTGCGGGTGCAAAGCTAGATCTGTGTGCCCCACTCAGTCCAGATCCATCCTGCCCCCTCCTCGTTCCAACCCACCCCCCCTCCTCTGTTGTATATGCAGGGAGAGCAGAGAGGGTTTTGAGTGTGCTGCCGGGATTGCTGTCACTTAAAAAAACAGAAGACGTGCTTCTGTGTTTATAAGTGACTGTATTGAGTAGTAATGAAAGGGACCAGCGCACAAGATTCTGAAAAAAAAGTCCTAATACTAATGCATTATAAGCTGCGGGCTTGCCAGGCCCCCCCGTCAAAGAGAAGGGCCTGGGTCCTCTACAGGAGACCCAGAGTTACCCCCTTATTGGCCGCTCTGACTACATGGGTGGAGCTTTTCAATGATCTCAAGGCAGTTGGGACCACGGTCACCAAACAAATCATTGATAACACAATACGTCACAATGGATTGAAATCCATCAGCGCCCGCAAGGTCCCCACTCCTCAAGAAGGTACATGCACAGGCCCATCTGAAGTTTGCAAATGAACATCTAATTGATTCAGAGAAGGATTAGGAGAAAGTGCTGTGGTCAGATGAGACCCAAATTGAGCTCTTTGGCATTAACACGACTTGAAGAAAAAAGCTGACTATGCCCTAAGAACACCATCCCTACAGCCAAGCACGGAGGTGGAAACATGATGCTTTGGGGCTGTTTCTCTGCTAAAGGTACAGGATGACTTTGCCGCATTGAGGAGCCAATGGATGGGGCCATGTATTGTAAAATCTTGGATGAGAACCTTCTTCCCTCAGCCAGAACACTGAAGATGGGTCGTGGATGGGTCTTCCTGTGTCACAATGACAAAAAAAAAAAATACCGCCAAGGCAACAAAGGAGTGGCTCAAGAAGAAGCACATTAAGGTCATGGAGTGGCCTAACCAGTCTCCAGACCCTAATCCTATAGAAAATTTATGGAGGGAGCTGAAACATCAAGTTGCCAAGCGACAGCCAAGAAACGTTTAGGGTTTAAAGAAGAACTGGACCAAAGAGTGGACCAAAATCCCTCCTGAGATGTGTGCAAACCTGGTAACCAACTACAAGAAATATCTTACCTCTGCGCTTGCCAACAAGGGTTTCTCCACCAAGTACTAAGTCATGTTTTGCTTGAGGATCTTATACCTTTTTTACTCACTGAACTGCAACTCAATTTATAACATTTGTATCATGTTTTTTTCTGGATTTTTGTTTGATATTCTGTCTATCATGTAAAATACATCTATGATAAAAAATATATTTAGTATATTTTATATATATGTGGGCAAATGTACAAAATCTGCAGAGGATCAAATAATTATTTTCCCCACTATATAATATATTAATAAATGATCATATTGATGCATGTCTGGACAGCATAATACAATAATCTACAGCATGTTGTAAGTAAAGCTTAACTCAAGATAAAACTTCTTTTCTTGATTTATGTTTTCTTTTTGCTCTGGATAACTTTTTAAAATCTTTTATTGCTGTCTGTGACTTTGTTAGAAAAATTTCACCTTACTCCCTGTCCTTGTAATGGCAGGACAAGAAATAAAGGACGTAATTGTCACTAAGAGAGGACAACTAAGACAGTAATTATAATGTGATTAGAAGTTCTAACCTAAACCCATTTTACTGAAAAAAGTGTTTTGCTGTTGTGTCCACAGTGCTGGGATTTCCCATCACTTCTTGACAGGAAGCGATGATAAAACTCCCCAATGGAGATCGGTCTGACAGGGATTCTAACCTTTCCGTACTCTGTTTAAAACAAAATGTTTTGACTGGCAGTAGGCTTTAGGATCAAAAGTACCGACCAACACATTAGTCTTGGTATTATAACATTTCTTCTGACTGCATTCGAAATGTTTTAAAAAAAGGTTTTTAAACTGGATAAAACCATTACTTTTCGTTGTTCACTGATGCAAGAAGATAGCTGAAGCAGAAAACGCCTAGGAAGGTCAACACTTGAAGAGACTTCAATGACAGGAACATCTCTTGATTCTGAAATATTAGAAGACAAAGCAGAAATATGTAAGGTTTTATAAATCTGATGGGAGATATGCTGGAATTTAAATAGAGGGAGGGTTTAACGTTTCCATCCAAAATGTTTTTTTTAATCTTTTATTTATGTGACAAAACAAGTCCAAAATGTTTTTTATAATATACCACTACCGCTGATATCACACTTAGTGCCTCTAAAATATACCTCTAAGCCTCTGTTATTGACCTCCTTTTGAAAATGCTTGTAATCTGAGTGTTATGTTGCTCTAATGTCTTTAGAGTTGCTAAGTCACTAAGGCTGGCCATAGAGGGATTGTTTTTTTTCGTTCAGTCAGCGAGCTGAACAAAAAAAAAGTACAAATTCCTCCATCCATACAGTTGAGGTGGATAGTGGAATCCTCCCCTCTGAGACATTGTACTCTGACAGTATGGACTCTCCGCTGTCAGAATACACTTATCAGCTGCTGCAGCCGAAGATCTAGAAAAATTTTCCATCAAGCCTATTCAACAGAAGTCCTGGAAAACCTGGAGCAAGTAAAACAAGTATATCTTAAAATTAAATTGAACTTTTGAAAACTTTTTAAAAAACCAGACTGAAATTGAAAATGTGTTGTCTTTTGAAAGCAGCCACAGCCTGCGTGGAAACATCTGCCCCATCATGTTGTAGAGAAGGATCCTTGCCCTTTATGTGGAAGAAATGGTCTCTCTGAAGAAGTCTGATACACCCCCTGTTGAGTCAAACCTATAGTTCTGCAATCAGCAAAGCTCATGCTGGAGAGCTCTATCTCTGACTGTAAAGGGGCATGTCAGACTTCTGCAGGGAGACCCATTGCTTCCACACAAAGAACAAGGGTCATTCCCATCAGCATGCTGGCATTTTCCAAGCTATTTAAAGAAAACAGACTGTATGGCTTTGCACACCTTTTAGTTGTGCTTCACCTGGAATGTATTTAGCTGGCTTAAAAGTTCAGTTTTTAGTTGTGTTTTAAAAGAGAAGTATGGATAAAGCTTTTTGGCTTTTGAGCCACAGGAGTACACTTACGTTTGTTCTCTTGTTACCCAGAGTCAGCTTGTAGTGGGCTATTGCCACGGTCAGCTGACATGGCAGAGCTGGTCCAGACTCTGGAAGGATCCCGACCACATTGTTGGGATCCACCTAGTTGCCTGACTGACAGCTGGCTCTGACTCTTAACGAGTGACTGAGAGCCGAAGCCAGCTGTGCCTGCACCCTCTCAAGCCCAGAATTCCAGTGAGCACTGAAGGAGTAGATCAGAAAGCGTATACTGACAGTCACTGCTCTCCACTCTAAGCAGGCCGAGAACTGATATCCAGGCACATGTTATTTTCATAAGACAGTCACACAATGGCAGCCTCCAAATTTTATTCAGCACAGGGTTCCTTTATACCAGTGTTTCTCAACCTTGTTTCAATCAAGGCACCCTTTAAAATTCTGTACAATCTGCAGGCACCCTATTCTAAAATGTAAAACTCTAATCCGTGGGTTGTGATATACCAGTACAACGCAGCCACAATTGGTAAATCACGGTCTGGGCTTGCTGACCTACCACCCCAGAGCATCAAACAGAGTGGACTACTTGTAAAGTTGGAGCTGTAGTAGGGAGCAAAAGTCCCATAAGCCGATGCTTCCTCTGTAGTGCTGGCTGTTGTCCCATGTTGTCCCATGTGGTGTGCAGTCCACCACTTGTCCCAGCTAGCAGTTTCCAGAGTGGTGCCAGCAGCAGGAAAAAAGAGATCTTCTGGTCAGTATAAAGCAATACACTGGGCATAATAGTATAGGGATGCTGTCACACTGGTTTACCGACTCCGCAGGTGCAATGCAGTGTACCTGCAACTTTCCTGTGGGTTAGCTGCACTTAGCTAACTTCTGAATGCAGGAGTTTTGGTGCACTTTCAAAAAGTGCACCACACCTGCAGGATATAATAGCATATATTATGGCAAAGCACAGCTAACCCAGGAAAGTCGCATATGCACTGCGCTGCACCTGCAGGTAAACTACAGCACGTCAGTATGAAAGCAGCCTTATAGGGGGCTCAGAACAATAAGGGTTTCTTTACATTTGCAGTTTAGGGCGTGGTAAAAACCCCATAGATGTGTTTTTACCACTCCTGCCCCAACCACAACCCCTTTAACTGCAGTGGCCAGGGGTGTACACATATCGCAGCTGCAGCAGGAGTTTGGTGGGTGTAGTGCCTGCCAAGCATAACCCATTCAAGTGAATGAGGACGCTCTGCAATTGCCCTGCAACCTTGTGCAGTACAGCAAACAGTTCAGATGCTAATACATTTCATTAGCTAGAAGCTGATATTTCCTCATATTACTAGGAACAGGACTGCTGATAATCGGGTACCAACGGTCCCCCTGTAGGGTGCCCAGACGCCATCAATTTAACAGGGGGGTCCAGGCAGCTTTGGGTTTCATTACTTATGCAGGCAGACTAGGCAGTTTATGTATGCTTCCTGTGTGGCTCCCCAGTGGTTTAGTTTTTTTAATTACATTTTCCTGGGTCCCATCCATTTTGCAGAGGGGCCCAGAAGGCTGGAACACAGAAGGACCTTTTTCTGGCGCATAGTGGAATAACAAAAGCCAGCATTCCAGTTGCTAATACCAAAATGAAAGTTCTGGCCTCAGTCCCTGGCGGAGTCATATCACTGCCTTCCTGCTTCAGTAAGTAAGTGCTGAGAAGAGGGCAGGCTGTATCCATGGGCTCAGTGCTTTCATGGGTGGGAGAGGGTGTCCTGTGACATCCAAACTGACAGGACTGTGAGGACAGATCCAGCAGTGTTATCACACTCAGCAGGTCCAGCTGTCAGAGAAAGTGGACAGTGGCAGGTTAATTGGGCAGAGCAATCCTGGAGAAAGTGGGGCTATCCTGGGGAGGAGGGGCAGGTCAGGCTCAGTGGATTGGCGTCTTCATAACCTGCATAATAATTGGGCTCATGTTGGAGGTAGGCAGGCATCTTCCTCTCCACAGTCTGCACTTCACAGTGGAAATTTGTGTGTGGCTCAGACTGGCACTGCTCTGGATGCCCAGATGCCTGGAACTCTTCTACACCAGGATAATGTAGCTTGTTTAAAATTGGTGGACTCCATAATGATGTCTCCATTCCTCTGCATCCTTCTTCTGCAATCCAGGCTGAGTGTCTCTTTAGCACCCCCTGCTGGAGGGATAGCACCAGCTGAGCTAAGTGTGAGCTGAGTGCTTGCTGGGCTCTCCTGGTTTGCGCAGACATATCAGTTCTTCAATTGTATAATTTTTCATTTGGCTTTCTTCTTTTTTTTATATTATCAGAGTCCTACAAATCACCCCTGGGCTATGTAAGACTTTCATAAATAACCTGAGCAATTTGAAGTGCTCCTAAAACCCAACTCTGGAAAAATCTGAAAATATTCCCTTGCAGCGATGCTGCACCCACAGTGCAAGGGTTAATTGCTCATTTAGGTTTAGGGGACTTAATAAAGTAGCTTTACATACCCTCACTAATCCTTATTCCTCTGCACTGCTAGACCAGTCTCTGCACCGTCTAGCCCTGCACTGGACTTGATGACACCAAGGGACAGTCCACCACCCGAGTGTGGGGTAGCAGAAGATAAGGTAAGTAAAATCACTTTTACTCTTTCCCAGGCTAAACAAGCAATTAACTCTCACAATGAAGTGCAACCAAAATCCAAGTGATGATTTCAAGATTGTTGAAGTTAGGCTTTAAGTCTCACTAAGGCCCCTTTCAAAGTGCCCCACTTCATTTTCTCCTCAGTGCAGCACAGTGTACTCGTGGTTTTCATGTGAGTTACCTGCGCTTTCTCATAGTCTTCTATTAGATCAGGGAATTTGTATATTTTATGAAAGCGCACCAATGATGTAGCATGCAGAACTTCTGGTACGATTTCAGAAAATGCACCAAAAACTCCTGGTCCAGTGGAAGATTATGGGAAAGCAGAGGTAACCCACACAAAAACCACAGGTACACTGATCTACACCCTCAATATGAGGAAACCACAGCAGGGCAGTGTGAAAGGGGCCTAAAAGTGCTTCAGCACTCGACACCAGGATTTCTGCGGTACTTGATAATCAAGCCCATTCACAACTGGATGTAATGTTGCTTCAAGGCCTCCATCACATAGCCATTTAGCTGCATGTAAGCAGGTTTCCTGATGTTAGTTAGACAGCTGGTTGCCCTAGTTGGGAGGAAATGCAGTTTCCTCACTTCTAAGCTTGTGCTGTAAATAAAAGGAGTAGGGCTATGCCCAGTCTCAGCCTGCTGTATGGAAAGAGGACACAGACAGACCTCCAAGATATAATCTCCAGCTGTATACAGAGAGCTGTTTCTGCCAGGGGGCTCTCTCTGCTGGGATATGCAGTCCACATTGAAGACACCATCATGGACTTTGCCATGTATTAACTCTTCCTGTGCTGGTATACTGGGGCAGCCAAAGCCCTGGTTAGGGTTTTAGAGAGGTAGAGACTGTTTGCCTGTTGTGCGGAAGTTTCTTAAGTAAAGAATTGACACTTTGCAATGCATATGGTGTATGAAATTAACCAGCAATGTGTGTATATACTTTGCAGCACATTGGGGTATGAAGAGTCAACATGGTACAGGGTAGAAACAGGTGATTACCATGGCGAATTTAAGTCTAGTGATCAGTCCAAGCAGCCTGTCATGAAACGTGGTACCTGTGACTGGTGGGGTGTCCTCTAGGGACATACTTCTATCTCCCTCTCCCTGAGCAGTCCATCTCCTATAGCAATGGAAGCAGATCAGCACCACAGAGGCTATCAGCCTAGCCACTATGTATGGAAGGGAAAGAGTTAACTAAGTGCACGCATGGGGTCCAGTTTATTTGTTCAAGTGTTCATGGTGTACAGCCATCTCTAAGTTGGAGATTTGCTTTAAGGTTGAGTTATCCCCAAGAGTGCTCTTTGCCTTGTCCCTGGGCCTTGATAAGCATGACACAAGTAAAGGTACCCCATGTGCAGGGTGAG